TGCATCAAAGAAGGGAGCAGAAAGCGGACCAGTGAGTTTATTTGATGCATTGAGAAAGGAAACAGTCTATCTTAAGCTCATAGTCAGCATCCCAGAGAGTAAACGCTGGCTTAAGCCTTCATTGGGTTGTTCTGAAGGTTTACTAGGGCTTGGAAGCATTGCTTGAAACAATTGTTTAATGACTAGTTAATGATGTAATTTACTCACTTTACATAATTTTCGGAAGAGCCTTCGCGTATTATCAGATTTTGTATCAGGTTTCTTCAATCGATAATCATTTGAGAATAGTGCAAAAATGGAGAACGAGCAATTTTATTTTTCACATCTAATTTTTTTTACTGCCATGAGAAAAAGAATGTACTCTAAGCCTGAAAAATATGTCGCAGACAAGGTGAATTTACTGTGAAAGACCGAAAACGCCCGCTGGTCACTCAAGGTGGCTGATGACCGGAAACTACCTCAGGGTGCGTCAAATTATGGTGACCGTGAGGGCGCGCGCGCGGTCAGACCCAGTTTTCGAGTCTAGTTTCCTCTTCTTTCCTCTGCAAAATGCGTCTTCTTAGTTAGACCAAATGTCATCTATTTTCAAAGATCACTGAAACCACCAGACCACGGTGCCAACCATCACATTGCATCAACATGGGGTTCTGGCACGCCACATCTGGCGACTGTCAAGCTTGATAGAGAAGCTCGTATGAACAACGTTACCCACGCTTCGAATAAGTTGTGATTCACCATAGATGGTAAAGGTGGAGATTCCAAGGTCGAGGTTACCATTCAGGACAATTATCAAATGCAAAAATGGTCTCTATGAGGTTTTGCGCACCAAATTCGAAGGTTGATGTGAAAGCCCACTTGGACCTTGATCCATTCTCTATCACCTACAAAAAACCGTTTGATTACTCTGCTTTGGCCTCTTCAGCGGGACATATAAACAAGTCATAACGTAAAAATTCTGCAAGAGTGATTTCTTGGGTTAAGGTCTTTGAAGACTTGTTACCTAGGAATCCCCTACTTGGTTCAGCTGGGTTTCCTGCAGGGTCAACCGTCACGTTGGACCAATTTCGAACCCCCTACGACCCCCTCCTTTTGACGAGTCTCGATACGACCCCCCCAAACACTTATTATGTACTGTACACTTGGTAATTGTGTGTTTGTTTGCGTACTACTTCGTACTACTATTCGAGCGTTACACCAATTGAGCGCGGTAGCGTCGCGTTTGCATTGGCGCGCACAAATCTTCTACTCGGCCCAGCGCGGATAGACCAAGGCAGACTACTATTTTTCAAATGAGTGTAATTCTGTTCAACCTCAATATTTTTCAAAACGCCAAGTAGATTTGTAATCTACGAGACTGCGCGTTTCAGAAAACCGCCACGTTTGTGCGGTATCTTCAATACTCTTTTAGTTATGGGGTACTGAATTGAGAATCCACAGAAATGTGCACATCTTCATTTAAAAGGTTGTAGTTTTTTTCAATAAGAAAGTGTGAGAATTAGTAAGAAAATTTTAAAACTCCAGATTGTTTTCTTTCTACAACTACTCAAACTTTCTAAAGTTTATTTATTCAGAAAATCGCCCCGTTAGACCGTTGTATTTGCGCCACAAAACCCGGGTTGTTTTTTTCTTTCAGTGAACTATAACTTTGGTGCTAACTTAGTTGGGGGGGGGGCACGCGGCGGCGCGGCAGTCTGCTCGCCTGGCATGTTCGGAAATCCGTGGGCCAGGGGGAGTGTAGGCAGTCTAGGGGGGGGGGGGTGGGGGCAGTCACTTGACATGCGTGAAAAGCTGGAATGTTCGAGTTTACACTGTCTCGCTCGAGAGAGCCCAGGTGAGCAGACTGCCGCGCCGCCGCGTGCCCCCCCCCCAACTAAGTTAGCACCTAACTTTCTTCAGAAAGAACCTTTGCAATTATTGTCCCCCTGGGATAAACTAGAAGGTAAGAGCTTTCTAACGAATGAACTCTTTTCAAAACTGATGGAGTCAAAAATCGCCCCGTTGGACCGTTTTGGGGAAATCGCGGACCGATTTTTGGCAGAGCGCTGGTTTTTTGGCTTTGAACTGTTATAACTTTCTTCAGATTCAACTTTTTGCAGTTCTTGTCCCCTGGAAGAAACTAGAAGGTTAGAGCTTTCTAATGAATACTTGAACTAGTTTCCAAAATGACCCGTTCAAAAAATCGTCCCGTTGGACCGTTTTTTTTTCATGAATTTTCGGAGCTACTCTCCTGAAAACACGAGTTTTCAACACTCAAACACTCACAGCTCTCTTCAAACTCAATTTTATGGGGAATAATGATACCATGACATCGCACAAGCTTTGTGCTTCATAACAGATACTAAACCTTTCTAGGAAGTCGCGACAGGCAAATTTTTTCTCCAAACTTTTCTTGTAAGCCTTTAGCAGTCAATCTACCCAAGTGGTCACTCTTTTACTAACTTAGGTCCAGTTTGAAGACATTGGTTCTCCTCGAAGCATATTTGTGTACGTGAACAGTCAAATATGGACACTTCTGCAGTAGACTCTTCTGCTCTGAGGTGCGCCATGCACTCGTTTGTGGTTAAGTTGAAGAAGCGCTCGAAAGTTATGCCTCTCACATAAGTAGTGAAGCTTGCAAATACGATCCCCCCTTTTTCAGGTCAGCCGAATACGATTCCCTCGTTGGACTTTGTCCAACGGATGGCTGACCCTGGTTTCCTGTATGTTAAGTCTGGGAACCAAACAAAGGCAAGCGAAAGCTCACAATAAATTTGATTTCATAAAGGGGTCGTCGCAGAAAGCTGCACTCGTTTTGGCGCGCCTCAACAGCGTCCCATTGTGCACGCATTCGCTTTTTATCTGAAAGCTTCTATGAACGTAGTAGGTAACAGATTTCAATCCCACTCAAGTTTTCCCTCGTAATACGAAGGATCAGCACTTTCCTCTAGTCTGTCTGTTTAGAGTGGTTTTCATTTTCAATGGTATAATGCCTCGGTTACCATAATTTGGCCTATCCTGTATACATTATCATTCGATTAACAATAGAAAGATTCGAAGTGTAGAATTCAATTATCCGCGACCCCAAATAACTCTTTTAGAATTTCTGATTTTTATTGCGCCCCATATATTGGCAGGAGCTTTCTTGAAAACCGAATAGAAACGAGTGACCACGAATTACTCAGACTTCTTTCAATCATTGCAAGCGCTTGCCCTGGATGTGCATGAATTTGCTAAATCTTTTTTCTCAGGATTCTTGTTTTTAGCTCCTTCATATTTCATGTGGCAACGACCAATGTCTCAACCCATTATTCATCCATAGTGTGTGAACCATAGGGGAAGCAGCGGTAAAATGGGACTGTACGATCTTAAAGGCAGCAGACACGGCCAAATTGTGTGATGAAGAAGAGCAAAGGCACCCAACATAGAGAAATTTATGGCTTAGGAAAACGAAAC